TTGAGCGCAACTTCACAAGAGCCAAAGACTTTATTCCCGAGCGATGGCTTGATGTAGATGAGTTTGAGGGTGTTCGATTCAATAAGGAGAGACACGGTGCATCGCAGCCCTTTTCGGTTGGGCCCAGGAATTGTATTGGTAAGAAGTAAGTAGATCAAGGTCCCCACATTGTCGACATGTAGTGTGACCAACTGACGCCATTTATAGTCTCGCTTACGTAGAGATGCGCATGATTCTAGCCCGACTTGTCTGGAACTTTGATTTGGAGCTGTCGGGGGAGGAGTCAAAGAAATTTCTGGATTGCAAGAGTTATAGCACGTGGGTAAAGCGTCAACTGCATGTTAAGCTTACACCTGTGGCAAGGGGTTGACAGTTATCCGAGAGGGTTTTAGACTCTGTTGTTAATTGATAAGTAGCATTAAGTAAAATTAAAACCGTAAGGTTATTAGACATTCCAAATTAGAAGATATCACGTGGTGGAAGGAATTAATTATGCAGGTCGGGATATCTAGCATGCGTAGAGAGAAGTCAGGAATGCATTAATAGAAGCCGAATAGACGTGGAAAAGAGTCAGGAATGTATTAATAGAAGCCGAATAAGCATTATATTATATTAATATAACCAGACATTAAGTCTAAGTTCTTGCTCAAATCGCCCTTACTACTCCGTCTTCCACAGGGCCGCGTGCTACTCGTTCCACATCATAAGTTGATGGAGCAGTTTGCACCGGAAAGGTGCTGTACTTTGGTGGTTGCTCGTTCCCTGCTGAGCTTGTCCTTGTGCGGCGGACACAACAAGCCGAGATCAGCGAAATAGGACACGAAAGAAGGTTAGCAGCGCTGATTGGTTGAAGCGTTAGAACCTGCCATGACGAACAGAGGGGGAATACCAGGTATGTAGGTAGGTACTTACGAAAGTCCCAACATGAGCCAGCACCAGGCCAGTTGCCAGTGATCGATCCACATATCTGCTTCTTTCCACACGGTAAAGGGGCCGCACGGGTCAACCCAGGAGACATTGTTGGACTCGTCGTAGTGCAAGCAGCCAGTGACTCTGTCGATTTGCTCGAGCGACTCGAAACTGAAAAGAACCGTGGCAGTGACCACCCCAACGGCACCGATGAACATGTCGAGAATAGCTGCGTAGATGGCTGCTAGGTGGATGGATTTTGCGCGGAAGAATGCCACGGTCACCATGGTGAGATTCAGCACGGCAGCAGCGAGTGTCTGGTTAGTAGTGTTTTCTTTTGTTAGTAACTCGTCCCTTTAGGTGCGCTTTGAGAGGTTGGACTCATCAAACTTACCACCAAAAGACCAAAAGACTGTTTGATACCGGATTTTCCGTCAAACGCATCCTTGAGCAGCCCACTATAGAAGACGACGTATCCGAATGTGACGATGGCGAAGAGAAGAAGGGGGATACGGGTTATGTAGGTGATGCGTCTCAACATGTCTGTCTGACGAGGAAAACCTGGTGTTGGGGCGTCGGGAGTGGCCGTCAAGGTGCATGGCAAGTTGATGCTGTTCCTGTTTTCCAGGTTGCAATCCCCCTCTTTCTCCGGATCAGCGCTGAAGCATGCAGGGTCGGTAGCGATAGCACCAGGTTCTGAAATCTCAATCTTTGTGTCGTCCTGTAAATCCATCTTCTTGTCCTCCTTGATATCTTTGAATTCTTCGTCCTGAACAATCTCCTTTTTCCCATCTTCATTGACCTCCTGATGGGTTGACATTTCGCTGCATGGCGGTTCACCCAGGCTGTTCTTCTTGAGACTTATATAGCGTATAGAGAACAGGACAATGGATGCCAAAATGTGAAACAATCTGCAGTTATTGTGTTAGTCCCCACTCATGTCTGCGATTATGGTTAAGAGTCAGAGTGAGGAAACCTACCCAACGACCAGGGGCTTAGCAGCAAACGCCTTCCGCTGGTCCATTGATGGATAGAGAGGCGGTATCCTCCCTGACTCGGCTAGGAAGATAAAGTCCTCGTTGATGAAGATGATGATGGCAGCGACGATGCCGAGAATCCCAGGAATGAGGTCTATCGCCGCCGACGCATTGATCGCTGAGTTGATGCACAGCCTGTTGAGAAAAGGGAGGACGGCACCAGGTATGTTTACCAACATAGAGACTGCAATAGATATCAAAGCCAAACAGTAGTGAGATCTCTTTCCTTCGCTGGGATGAGGAGCGAATGGATCCTGGATTTTGGTGAGAAAGGCAATTACGTGGGCCAGGGCGGCAACGTCTATGATGGAAAGCCCGGTTCGGGCGAAGATGATGCATTGCCTCGAACCTGGGCTTCGAGCGCCGCCGGTGTTTACCATTTTTTGTGAAAGTCAGTAAATGGCGTTTATGTTGAGAAGATGAATCTTGGTGGCATGATGAATTTGGGAGAACATACCAGCAGTTTATGAACAAAGTCGAGCCCGACCCATGCATAATTGTGGCGAAGTCATTCCACTATTGTTGGTCAATTTCACACTAGAGTACGCGCCAAGCCAGGGGAAAAGGATTATGTCTGTCTGCCTGAAGGTGGCTTGGCCCAATAATACAAGACACTAAAAGGTCGCTGGTGCCGATTCCCGAGGTGGGTTTGTTGGAACCAACAGAAGAGACGATGGTATGGCAGACCTGACCAGGACGGATTGGGAAACAAGCTTCTGTTTATGGTGCTGTAAGTAAAGCACGTGAAAAGGAAATTTAGTGATTTTTAATGTTTCTGCATGTAAAGATTTCTCAGTGACGACTTCATCACATGTCGTAGAAATCTCACCCTCTTGTAAATGTTCGCAATCTCTCCTCCCCTTTATGCCTCTCGAAGCTAATACTTTATTCTCGAAGCGAACCTCATCTCCGAGTTCAACACATCAAAAACAGCCAGCACGCTAGTCAACCACGACACGCCCAGAACGTACGGCCCTGAGCTCACATCTGTCACACCGATTCGGCAATAGTCTCCAGAGTTGTCTCTCACAGTTTGCCGGAGCAGATCCTCAGGAGCAAAAGAAAATGTGTTTCCGCCAATTTTGACTCCAAATTTAGGCACCGTCGCATTGCAAAGAGCGTAGAAGAGTCCCGTCGAGCTGAGATACTTGGCTGGTGGGTCAAAGGCGGCGTATAGGGGGTTCACAACGGCTATTTGGAGTTTGTCAGTTAAAATATTCATCCGTGTTTATTACCGTGACCTGTATGTCCGGCGTCGGATTGAACTTACACTTTGGCAAAATACTCAATGTAGACCCGACATCAATCAGCACTGGAAAGCTGGTCTTGTTTTCGGTCGAATTCTTGTTCCCATCAATCACCCATCCCTCCGGTGAGATGATGTAGAGACCCTTCTCTTTCGTATCGAACCCCCATTCAGGAATTGCATCAATTCCTTTGATCTCTGATTTTGCCCAGGTCTTGTCGTCTACGTCAGTGGGAGGGAGTCCACCGAGCGCGAGGTACGATTCTTTTTCTGGTTGTGCAACTTCGTTGCTAGTTCTAGAGAGAGCAATGCTGAAGAGAGGATCGATGAGTTTGTCTTTCCAGAGGGTAGTGAATACTGGATCGTAAGTTGGCTGTCCTTCCTCAGGTCCGTCTAGGCCAGTCATGTACGGGTATGCAAGGCCCAGCAGGCCTGATGTGCGGCCATCTCCTTGCCAGAATGTGTAATTGACTAGAGCGACCTGCTGGTGTTTGGCCGTTACACCGCCGATGGTCACGTCTTCGTACCCGAAGAAACCTGTTACGAAGGTGCCGTCCATGTAGGCGCGGCCGAACCAGTGGGTTGTGATGTTGCCGCCCGATAGAGGTCCGACGAAGCCTGCTCCGAGGCCGCAGTCTGGTATCTGTTGGAAAGAAAAGAAGCGTGTCAGCGAGAATCGAGGAAAATACCTAGGAACTAGGGCGCGTGTCTTACATATCCTGGATAAGGGAAGAAGTACGATACGCACTCGTAAGGTTCTTGCACGAGCCATGTGTCGCTTGAGCCAGTGTCGATGCTGACGGGGACGGTTTGGTTTCCTACGGTTATGTCGATGATGTAGTACACATCGTGGACGTTTGTAAGGTTGGTGGGGCGGGTGACTGAGCGCTTGTGGAGGAGAGTTGATGGTTTGCTAGATTCATGCCGGCGCATGGGAATGTAGTTGGACGTTATGGCATCTTGACGCAATACGCCAGCTGCTGAGGGTGCCACCAGGGACAGAACAGCTAGAATAAAAGCCTTCATCGTAACCGTCATGATCTCAGAAAGATCAGCGTGGTGGTCCTGGAAGTGAGGACTTGCCAGAATGAAATATGTAGTTTTCCATCAGCACTGCCAAGATGTTGGGGTTTCTTGATCTGCAGCATTTGTGTGGGTACACAATCCGAGTTGGATCCAGGCAAATGCCATTTGCCGGTATTGAGGGCATTAGGGGTCTATAGTGCTTTTATACAATCTTGACAGGTGATCTCTCTTTTGGATTCCGTCCCGCCTCCACGATTGGATCCCGGCTCCGACGATCAGCCTAAACACGTCCCGGCTTGTGAGTATACCATCAAAATCCCATTGATCATCAGAAAATCCCCATCCTTTGGAACTGCAATTCCGTCCATAATACCGTGGACATAACGGTCTCCTCAGAATGCTTACCCCAGAGAGCGAACATGGTGATGAAGGCGAAGTGCCACCAATTAAACAGGAAGTTGCAAGACAAGGCCAGTAGATTGAACCAGGTCAACTCGGTGTAAGCAGAACAAGAGCACGTACCGATTCGGTACATGTATTGAGCAAGTCATGATCGAATCCAACCTGAAAGGTGCGACATGTTCTGCTAAAGAGGGGTCTCACTACACTCTTTCCAGGATTCTACGGTCGAGTGAAAAATTACGCATCGCAACAGCCTTAGATACGGAATACATCAAAACCAATCAACAACTTTGCATGCAGATGGAACCTGGAATTGAAATCAACGTCTTTGAATTGTATCATTAGCTACCATAAGCCATTCATCATCATCCATATCTACAGGGCGTGTGGCTCAGTTGGTAGAGCGCCCGCTTAGCATTAAATCTTCGGACCAAGCAATTGCGGAAGGTCCCCGGTTCGATTCCGGGCTCGTCCATATTTTTAGGGGTTTTTCTTTTGGTTCTGAACATTCAACACTAAGTACTCCACTTTACTTCCAGGGGCTTTCTTATCTTGTTGATTTGTACTTCCCTAGATAGTTTCGCTCTAAGCACGGAGAAAACTTTACATATCTTGTGCAAAATTATTGTGGATCATCTATCAATTCAGGATACATAAAATGGAGTCAAGAACTCGTTAATTCGCACCAACAGTTCAAGAAGAACGTAAGGAAAACGCGCATAATAAAGAGCTGAGAAAGTACCTGCGAAAGAAAAATAGGTGTGTACTATGACTTGGAGGTAGGGGGCTTAGTATTATTTGCCGCGTGTTTATACTATTGATAGAAATAGAGAACCTTTGGTGGTAGTTTTGCACAAGTCATTTCTTGACCGCGTGTGACTGCCTATGCGGCACCTTGGTCCTGCCGGTGTGAGCTTGATGGTCTGGGAAGGACGTCATGTGGAATGAAGTTTTTCTCGTACGTAAACGATGAGTGAGCACGAGTGGTTGTTGTGATCCGAGGAGGATCAAGTGTGAGTCCCCATTTGATCTTGTGCTATTTGGGTGGGTAATCATTCAGCTATATAATAGGCATATAAATCTCTGGGATTTAATTCCTGCGAGTCCTAAAGACGGCCGTGGAGTGATCCATATAAGTACTAAAAATAACCACTTCGGTTCCAACTCGGATGCTCATGATGCTAATCATAATCTCTGTTTCCGGACCACCGTGCAGCCTAGTTCTTTATCGCGAGTTCACACCGAATGATTCAGCTCGGCTTGCCAGTGTGGCGTGGGGGCTAATTATCATTTCTCGGACAAGCTGGAATGCGGCGGAGCTTGTTGCCCAAGTTCGGAAATGCTGTGCTCCTCTTTTCCAAGCTTATTCCAGCTCAACGGCCAATCGTTGGCGAGAATAGAGGCTGTGTCACCTCGACCCAGGACCATGGAGCTGGGATTCCAAAACACACATACGGCTGACCGAAAAGAGAACCCAACAAAAAGCGTTCCCGGCACACCCGGGCAGGAAGGCTTACCTCCAAGCCATCACGAAGACGCGCACATCAGCTGGCCTCGTGGCTGTGAAGTTTTCGATCGGTCTGAATCTCAGAGTGTTTTGCTCATGTATTCGTATCTGGACCGAAGAATCAAGCAGGACTACCTACGTGTAGGTATATGCTCATTGTGTAGTCGAAAGTGGTATATAGCCTGGGAGCTTGGCAATGGCAGCCAGTTTTGTGAATAGGCTTCAACAGTTCTCAAGGACTCTATCAAGCTCTAAACATGGTTCTATCAACATCTTTTTACTCCCTTTCATTCCTTATACTAGCTACGGCTTGTAGCGCCTACGTTCCCTCCAATATCTACAAACGGGATACATCCCATTACTCACGGTTGACACAATGTCTCATCACTCGTACAGTCCCTTACCGGGTTCTCACTGACCCAGACTGGAGCGAATATGCTACTACATTCAACGCTCGTCTTGAGTACACCCCCGCAGCCATTGCTCTTCCGACAAGCCCTGAGCAAGTTTCTTCTGCCGTTCTCTGTGCAGCCAAGTACGGTTTCCCTGTCCAACCCAAATCCGGCGGCCACTCCTATGCGTCTTATAGCACCGGCGGCATGAACGGCATCCTGATGGTTGATCTCGAGAACCTCAACACCATCAGCCTTGATAACACCACCGGCATTGCAAAAGTAGGAGGCGGCGTCCGCCTCGGTAACCTCGCTCTCGGCATTTGGGATCAGGGACGGCGTGCCCTCGCCCACGGAACCTGCCCTGCAGTCGGAGTCGGTGGACATTTCACCCACGGCGGGTACGGGTACTCATCCCGAGCTTTCGGACTGGCGCTCGACCAGATCGTCGCGTTGGATGTCGTCCTCGCCAACGGCAGCTACATCCACACCGACAAGAACTCCTATCCGGACGTCTATTACGTAGGTCCACCTACCACCTTTGCCCCTTTTGGAAAACCTGTGCGCTTCTTTACTTAACTCAATAAATCACAGGCCCTCCGCGGCGCGGCAGACTCCTTCGGCATAATCACAACCTTCCACCTGCAAACCTCACCGGCCCCGCCAACCGTCATCAACTTCTCCTGGTCCTTCCCTCAGGCTCTGTCCACCTCCAAAGCAGCAACGGACACGTTCATGGCGGTGCAGTCCGTCTCGCTGAACCCCGCAATCATCAACCGCAACATCGGCTTCGGCGTCACAATCTCCAACAACGCAACCTCGTACACGGTCCACGGGACATACTTTGGCACGATCCAGGAATTCAACTCGACAATCTCCCCGGCTTTTTTGAACGCGATCCCCTTTTCTCCCGCGGCAAACGACAGCGGCACGATAATCGAACCCACGGACTGGATCACCTCTCTCACTCAGCTGGGCGGCGCACCGACGCTTGAAATCCCGCTGCACGGTTACAAAGAGCGAGACAACTTTTACGCCAAGAGCGTGACCACCTCGCAACCGTTCACCCGTAAAGCTCTGGAATCCTTTTTTCAATACGCCCTCACAAAAGGAAAAGGAAAAAACGCGCCGGTGGGATGGTTCAGCATCATAAACCTCTACGGCGGACCGGACAGTCAGATACACAAACCGGGGGCCGGAGGCGGTGACGAGTTCGCCGCCTACGCGGGGTATGACGATCTGTGGGTTGTTCAAAACTACGGGAGCTTTCCTGTTGGTACCTCCTTTCCCACGAAAGGCATCAAGTTCTTGGATGGATTGAACGGCGCTTTGACGAGTCAGATGGAGGAGTACGCTGCTTACCTGAATTATATCGATCCTGGATATACCAAGAGGGAAGCGTTTGAGTTGTATTATGGGGCAGAGCTGTTTCAGAGGTTGAAGGGACTCAAAAAGGCTTTGGATCCGGGAAATGTGTTTAGAAACCCTTTGAGTATTCCTGTTTGAGCGCATTACTGGCAGCAAAGGGGTTATTGAACTGTTATGTATACATCACCGTTATTAAACATTTCTAATGCGTAAACGATTATTAGCTCGGTAAATGCCCCATGAAACCAAAGCCAGAAATAAGTTCAGTATACATAGAAAGGAGTCAGGATGTATTAACAGAAGCTGAATAGGTATAAATAAGAGTCAGTAATGCATTAATAGAAGTTTAACAAGCGCAGAAAGGAGTCAGAAATGAATTAATAAAACCCGAATAGGCGTAGAAACGAGTCAGGAATGCATTAGTAAAAGCTGAATAAGCGTATAAAAGAAGTGAAATTGGCATAAGAAAATTTAAATAGGGCTTGTACCGCGCTAACAAACGTCTAAGCATTAGATTTTACCGGTACGTACTATGACCCCTGCCTATGTATTTGCCTTCCATCGAGCCATCCACTACCACACCCATCATGTTGCCTACCTGCTATCCAACTGCCACCTAGCCTGCCACACGATTTCGTGCCCTTCCACCGTGTGTGTGGTCGTGGATCGATTGGTTGGAGATGCCCTGGGAGAGGCTGTAAGCCTCTGCTACGGCTGTAAGAGGCTAGGAAACATGTGAATCTCTGTAGCCATCTGGGTGCGCAAGCTATGCCCGCGCATATATGGGTGTGGATGTGTATACCGGTGCCTGGGTGTGATGGTGTAACGAAAGATGGCCAACACTTCCAAAATGCAGAGATCTAAGGTATTGTTTGGGCATGGGTGTGGGTGTTGGTGTGGGCAGGTGTGACCGGGCACCTCCTGTCATCTGGGAATGCCTTCATCCATTGCACCCTGGCCTGGCCCACCCAGAACCTTGGTTTGGCCCACCCGGGAGGTTCCCATCTGAGGGCTGAAAGTTAAACGCATTGGTCTTCCTCTAATGATTATTCCATCCACGGACAGTCTGGATCCAACGGTTTAATATTGGCCACAGTTGCAGCCGTTTACCCACTGGTGTGGCCGTTGTAGGACTGTTAAATATAAACAACTGTTCTTTGAAACCATATATTGCCATTAATCCAAGTTGCATGGATAGAAGGTGGTCATTGCAACATGAAAGCATTGCAAATAGGGAAAGAATATAGTTTACGATGATCTACTCCTTTAAAGCTACTCCTCATTCTCGTCCGTCATGGAGAGTAACCACTTCTCATGTGCCCGGGTGTCCAAGCCCTGAAGCCACTCTCCAGTCTTGACGGCCGTCAAACTAGCCAAGGCCAGGTATGCCTCCCTATCCGTCATGAGCTTGACCAGTGCCTCTTCTCAAGGCGCAATGTCTTGCTCGGGGAACACATACCGGCGCCCTTGGCGCTCGCCACTGATAAGCTTGACAGGGATAATGTAAGGAATGCCCAACTTTGCTTCCGGTAGACCTCCAGCGTTGGAGGAAATGACAGGAATACCTCGGAGTTGAGCCTCGGTCACAACGATACCCCAAGCCTCATACCAGATTGATGGAGCGAGGAGGACTTTGATCCTGTCCCAAATCTCGTTGGTGTGCAATGTCGTTGGCAACACTCTAATTTGGTTTGTCAGCTCTCGCCAGGAGACATGAGGGCATGTGAGAGAACTTACTGAACATTTGGGAGTGAACGAAGCATGTCGATATGTTCCGGCTCCGATCCCCAGCTCTCCCAGGTGACAAACTTGATGTGTGGCAGCCTCTTGGCAAGGGCCAGAAGGATTGAAAGTCCCTTGTATGGGCAAGGGTTGATCATGCCGACCTCATCTCGGTCAACATTGTTGCGCACCATTGGCATTCCGCGAGTCTGGTTGGAGAGGAACGTGTTGCGGCTGTGAACCATGTACTTTGTCTTTAATCCTCCATGTTCCCAAGCATAGTCTTGGATGGCCTTTGATACCGTCCAGATCCCATCGACATGGCGCAGAAGATCGTTTTCGACACGGGCCGACAGGCAATGACCACTCACGCCAGCCACATACGGACCAAATGGGAGCTGTTCGGCCGAATGGACAACGCTGACACGCTTGAATGTGCTGCGTGCCGGGTGGACGGCTGTGATCTTCATGGTCAAGGCGTCGTTG